GAGAGCAGAAGCGAGGGGGAGAGGGGCCCCTCGTCGCTTCGGCCGGAGGCGGCTCGAGAAGCTGGTCAGTCTCCACTCCAGGAGGAGTTCTTGGCATCGCTCGGACGTGTGCATTTTTCCTTCGGCGAGGGCCATCGAGGAGCATCCTTGATCATTTGGCGAAAAAACCACGCACGAAACCGAAAAACACAGGGAATGGACGTCCGAGCGATGGCGAGGGTTTGGGGGACAAATGTTCAGCGAGTTTGCCCCCATCTGGGATGCTCGTTCTGGGGACCTTCCAGGGGCCCACCTCACGGATCTGTTCGACTCTAGTCCGACCTCAGTACGACTCAAGTTCGACTAAAGTTCAATTCAGGTTCGACTTAGGTTCGACTCAAGCTCGGCTCAAATCGACGGACGTTCGACGCAGCTTCAACGCACGAGTGGATCGAGTGTCTCCAAGCAGGTCCCCAGAATGAGCACCCACAATTTTCAGCGAGTTTGCCCCCGTCCCCCCTTCTCCACCGGTTCTCCTTGGGCTGATGCCAGCTCAGACCCCCAGGCCGCCTCTAAGCCATAATACCTGCGCGACTGGAAACACTGGCATACAGTGGGGGCCCATGCCAAGAAACACCCTGCTTGCCTCCAGGGTGCCCTGGGTTTCCTGGGTTTCGATGGTTTTGCTATGGAAAGCGTGACGTTCCCACACCAAAAATCAATGGACATCCCAGGGCCTCAGGGTTGGGCTTCTTGTGGAAGGTTTCTTGTGGACTGGCCTCCACTGTACGAGGTGCACGCCGTAAGTTTTTTGTATTCCTAGGCCTCCAGGCGGCGCGAGAGCTCACGACTGGCGCTCCCGCCTCGAGTCCTGCCCCCGGGGGCCTGGCGTCGGGCGCCGGAGGCGTTCCGCAGCGCCCGCGGCGGCAGGCCAGTCCTGAGGGCGCGGTCGAGAGCTTTGGGGGCCCACGTTGTGAGTCAATCGTGGCGGCTGAGGCGTGGGTAAGCCGCGCGCAGAGGGGGGGAGGGGGGAGGGCTTCTTCGAAGCGCACCCCTGCTTCTCAGAAGGCGCGGGCCTCGTCTGTAGGCGTGGGACCCTGCGCGCCTTCTGAGAAGCAGCCACCTCCTCCCAAGAGAAGGTCTCCCCCCGGCCCTCCACCCCCTTGTGCGCGCCGCCGAAGTGGGAGGCCGCATTCCGATGCACGTCTGTGCTCAAAGAAGAAAGAACTGCACAGACAGAATCAAACTGTTGGAGCTCCATGCTGACTTCTTGGATCGACGCTGGGCACCCCTGGCGGCGCCTCCAGCGCCGCGTATGGCGCGCTCCGCTCGGCAGGGGCTCCAGCGCAGGAACCAAGACACCCGCGCGGAGCTCCAAAAGTTTGCGTCTGTGCTGCTCCGAGTTTCTTAATAAGCGTCGGCGGGGGGACGTCACCCCCTCCGACAGCTCCACGTCGACCCCCGTCGCGGGCAGCCACCGCGCGCCGAAGGCGCTCCGACCCCCGTCGCGGCGCGACGACGAGGCGAGGTTGACCCCCGTCGGGGGGTACCCCCCCACGCTTATTAAGCAACCCCGAGTATCTCGGAGGTTGATAGACCTCCTACCCTGACACGTCGATTGGCGAATTGGCCGTTTTCGGTTCGCGAGAGAGCGCCGCGGCCGTCCTTTTCGCGGGTCCGGGTCCGTCGGTTTCGGTCCTGGGCCGTTTTCACTACTGGGGGGTCTACGACAGGGAAGTCTGTCCACCGCCGGGTATTGTTTCTTCTCCATGGCGCCGCCGATCGCCCGAATTCCCAAGGCGGCCGCGCCCTCGATGCACGCCCTGCGCCACTCAATTCGCGTCCTCCCCGCAGTGCGCTGCAGCAACTACACCCGCGGCGTCGCCTCCCGCTCGCGCCCCCGTAGGCCTCACATCATCAGCTGCTCGGGGGGTGGACAGGACTGTGAGCGAGTGTGTTCTTATTCGGCATTTCGACCTTGGGCGGATTAGGGTGAGGGCGTGGGGGGGTCTGGCTCCAGACCTTTGCTGAATGCGGCCGTTTGGAGCCGTGCGTCCTCTGGGGGAGACTCCCCCTGCTCGAAGCAGGGGAACAAAACAGCCAAGACCTACTCCATGGTGGGGGGGAGGGGGGGTGCCAGGGCCCGCGCCAATCGGCAAAACAATGAGTAAAAAAACGATCACGCCCTCACCCTGACACGTCGATTAGCGAATTGTCCGCTTTCGGTTCTCGAGAGGGCGCCGCGGCCGTCATTTTCCAGGCTTGCGCCCGCCAGGTTTGGGCCCGAGGTCGCTTTCACCAAGCCACGTTTTACTGTGGGGGCTCTGTCCATCCCCGGCTGCCCCTCGCCCCCAGACCCCCTCGCCTTGGCGCCGCCCGTTGCTCCCTCGCGCAGCACTCGTGCCGAATTCCGTAGGGCACCAGCCAGTGCCAGCCACACCCATCAGTTCGGATGCAACTCCTGGGAGGTCAAATTCTGACTTGGCCCCGGTAAGAAATCTGGCTATCTAAATCCGGCTTGATCCCGCTCGATTCGGCCGAGTCCCGGCGCAATCCCGCCCCATCCGAGGCCTTGTCTGGCGCAACAGCTTCCCACTGGGGCTCAACTCTCCCTGAGCCTTTCCGACGAAGACCTCCCAGCAGTTGCTTCCCAGCACCAGAATGCATGCATGTCTGCGCCGCGACCAGTGCTGTCTGCGCACCCAGCCGGCGCGCGCCCGATCGGGGTCAGCGGGTGGAGGGAGAGCCCGGGCAGGCGGCGCACGCCAGGGGGAATCGATGACACGTAAGAGTGACCCTTCGCAGGAGTGACCCTTGGGTGCGGGCTCATCGGGGCCCCCCCAATCGCTGAGCGCGATGTGATGGCGGCTGCTTGCGCGCTTGGTTTTTGCCACCTTGCGCGACCTTGGTCCGCGCACCAAAGGTCTCTCTTGCCCAGGGTCCCTCTTGCGCGTAGCAGAGGGAAGGCCCGCCTTCCTCTTCGTTCACTCCCTCGCCTCCCCTCGCTGCCTCCTCCCCGTGCCGCCTCCCTCCCACCTCCCTCCTTTCTCCCCCCTCCCCCCTCGAGTCAGGAAACAATCACGGGACCGTCAAGAGAGGACTCAGGATGAGAAACCAGTCCCAGGGAAAGGGTCCAGACCCCTTGGGGTTGCGTCATGGAAAAATCATGACGTCGGGGGTCTGGGTCCCCCCTCCCCTTTCCCTCCCTGCTTCCCCCGCCACGTCCCTCCCCATCACCATCCTCCCTCCCCATCCCTCCCTCCCTCTTCCTACCTCTCCCCTTGCTCCAGCAGGGGGGACGGGCCTCCAAAAGGCCCTCGAGGCCATCTTCAAATCGGCGGTGTCCCTCTACAGGAGGAATATGCACAAATACTTAGTAAACAAATCGTCTGGGGACGATGTTTTGATTATTTTGTTCGACTATTGGTGAATCGTTTTATGTGCTATTTGAAATTCTTCCTCCCACATCCGCCTGTAGGAGGACATGCCCGACCTGAGGCCATCTCCGAAGGCCGAGGCGGCCTCCCAGAGGGCCGGAGGGCTTCCGAGAAGTCCCGCTGCCTTGCCCCCGTCTTTCGGGGCTCGAGGGGCAGGGGCCGATGCCAGCGGGGGTCAGCCAGAGCGCCCGATCCTGCAGGATCCTGCAGAGCCAGGGCCGCATTCACTCGGGCTTGGGTGCAGGAGCTTGCATCAGCGGCACCGTGGCGGGTGCTCACTGGCTGGCGGGTGGCCTCGAACGGGCGATGATAAAGTCCCCCCACCCCTTCCCCGCCTCTATTTTTTAATCCCCGACCGCAGGGATCTATCTGTGGGGAAGGCGCGGGTGCCGAACTTGATAATCCACTGGGAAGTTGCGGGGATCGTAGTTGTTATCATATCATGTTAGTTAGAGCATCAAAAACGCTGAGCATGGCCATGATGGTCTCGCCACACCAGCTTCCGCAATCACGAGCGTGTGGCAGGACTGTGGGATTCTCACCAGGTCAGTTTGTCCACCTTACGACCGCGCGGCAGGGCCATGGGGCTCTCATTTTCTTAGCCGTTCCCGAGTCAGGGACGTGTGGCAGGGCCATAGGGACCGATTGGATTTTGATTGCCACTGCGTTTTTCGAGCAGGCTGAGCATTGGAGTTAGTTAGTTAAGTGAATTATTTTTGTTAGCGCACCCGTCACACGGTTCGTGGCCCCTCCTCCTCCTCCTCCTCCTCCTCCTCCTCCTCCTCCTCCTCCTCCTCCTCCTCCCCCCCTCTGCCCCCGCAGCTGCCCGGCCCAAGCTTCCCCGATTCTCCAAGCTTTCGAGCCTCTTCGAGGCGCCGGCCTTCTTCGCCCCAGGGGCAGCGATAGGTGGGGATAGGCATGCCTATGCATCGGCGATGTATCGCCGATGCATAGGCACTGGGGGGAGGGCATCGACTTGGAATCTGCGACACATCGCCGGTGCATCGGGCGCGCGTCGCCGATGTATCGGCGATGTACCGCCGATTCCAGGTCGGCGTCCCCCCTCCAATGCTTATCCCCTGACATCGTTGCCCCTGACTGCGTCGCTAGCCCCAGCGGTGGCCCAGCCCGCCGAGCGCGCAGCTGCCACGAGCCTGCTCGTCGAGGCGCTGAAGCACGTGGCGGCGCAGAGCTCGAACGAGATTCTCGAGCGCATGGCCAAACAGAACGAGAAAATCATCGAGCGTCTGGGCTACATCGCCGAGAAAATCAGCGTCGCCTAGATGCGCCAATGCCAGTCGAGCGCGCGAGGCACGGATGCAGCGAGGATGACGAGCTGCCGCTTCAAGGCCGAGAGCGCCTTGCGTTCGCCGAGCGCCCAGCAAGCCGCGCTGGAGATGGTCGACCAAGGCGGGCGCCACTAGAGCATCGAGTACGGCCACGTCTTCAACGAGAAGGACAAGCGGCGCATCGAGCTGGCCGTGGCGGCGTTCTCCAAGACCTACGTCGAGAAAAACGACCACGTGCACGACATCTTCGAGAACCGCGGAGAGCCGCCCGAGGACCTCTTCTGGCCCACGCCAGCCTTCAAGGCCAAGCTGCAGGAGATCGCCGAGAAGAAAGACATGGAGCTCGACGCCGAGAAGGTCGAGAAGCTGACCCACGGTTCCCACGGCGAGCGCACCGGGTTCGCCCTCCCAGGCACCCCCGCCGAGCTCCTCCACCTCCTCGAGCTAGTGCTGCCGATCAACAAGAAGTTCGAGCCCGTCGAGCACTTGCGCGAGAGGCCCGCCGAGAGTGCCGAGATGCCCTTTATCGTGATTCCGCGCAGGGCCCGAGAGTACGTCTGGTGGTGCAACGAGACCCCCATGGCCTCGATGGCGACCGACGGGGTCGCCAAGGCTACGACCCTAGCCATCGCCACGTGGTGCTAGCCCATCAAGAAGACCGCGGACACGAGCCACGAGCTGAACGAGCTCAGCTGCCAAGACAAGCGCGCCAAGCGGGGCAACTCCAAAACCGCCGCGCAGCAGAAGCACGAGGAGGTGCTTCTCGAGAGCCCCATCAAGCTGCACTTCGACAAGTATGCATCGATCCAGGAAACGTGCGACAAGCTCAACACGACCAAGTGCGATGACGAGAGGAGCCAGGCCGACGCGAAGGCCGAGTCAGAGCCCGCATCGTTGATGCTCGTGGACGCCTGAGCACACGAGCTCCCCGGGCCAAGCGCCCCATGTTGTTCGCTGCGAGGGCGCCGTTTCGGGGCGCACGCTCGAGCCCCATCTGCTTTTCAAGCTCCAAGAGAGTGCTCGAGCACGCGCAAGTGGCGCTCCAAGCTGCGGCGTACTACTCCCCCCATCTCGCCGAGTGATCCTCGACCAATTATCAAGGAATCAAGCGGGCGCGATCCTGCATCCTCGGATCGATGATCCGATATCTCGAGTCCGAGAATCTTCGGGCACCTTGGGCCCCCCAGATCCGAGGGTCGCCAAGCTTGGGCTCGAAGGTCTCGGTTTCGTGATCCGAGGGTCGAGGATCGAGCCTCGGCGACCCTCGATCGCCGCATTGCCATCGAGCATGCTGGATCCTCCATCCTTGGATCGAGTGTCCGAGACCTTGAGTCCGAGCATCTTCGAGCAGCTTAGGCCCTAGATCCGAGGGGCGCCAAGCTTGGGCTCGAAGATCTCGGGTTCGACGCCCGAGGCTCGAGGGCCGAGCATGGGCGATGGTAGATCGCCCTCGCCGCCGTCCTCGAGCCCGCGCTGCCACCCAGCAGGCTCGACCCCCCATCCTCGGCTCGAGGGTCCGAGACATGGGCCCTGAGCATGTGCGAGCACCTCGGATCCTAGATCCGAGGGTCGCCAAGCTTGGACTGGCAGATCTCGGCTTCGACATCCGAGGCTCGAGGACCGAGCCTCGGCGATAGTGGATCGCCCCTCTCGCCGCCCTCGAGCCCGCGCTGCCGCCGAGCGGGCTCGATCCTCCATCCTCGGATCGAGGGTCCTAGATCTTTGTCTTGAGCATCTACGAGCACCTCGGATCCTAGATCCGACGGTCGCCAAGCTTGGACTGGAAGATCTCGGGTTCGACATCCGGGGCTCGAGGGCCGAGCCCAGCGACGCTCTTGTCTTCCTCGGGCCCGCGCTGCCACCGAGCAGGCTTGATCCCCCGCCCTCGGATCGAGGGCCCGAGATCTTGGTCTTGAGCATTTGCGAGCATCTCGAATCCTTGATCCGATGGTCGCCAAGCTTGGACTGAAAGATCTCGGATTCGACATCTCAGGCTCGAGGGCCGAGCCCAGCGCTCCTGGTCATCCTCGGGCCCGCATTGCCACCGGGCAGGCTTGATCCTCCACCCTCGGATCGAGGATCCGAGATCCTGGTCTTGAGCATTTGCGCGCACCTCGGATCGTAGACCCGAGGATCGCCAAGCTTAGATTCCAGGATCTCGGGTCGTCGGTCCGCGGGCCGAGGGTTGAGCCTCGACGCCTGGCGGCCGCGCGCGCGCGCAAACGCGCGCGCGCGCAAACGCGCCAACGTACGCACACCAGCGCACGCGCGCACGCACGCGCACGCGCGCACGCGCGCACGCACGCGCACGCGCACACTCGCACGCCAGTCATCGCACACTCACACACATTCCCACACTCCCACACTCCCACACACAAACACTCACACACACACTCACACGCACAAGAACACGAACACACAACAGCAGCCACGACAGCAACAGCAACCAGCAAAACAGCAGCAACAGCAGGGCATAACAGCACCAACACAAACAGCAGGGAGATCACAACAGCTGCACGCCCGCACGCTCACAAACAGCAGCAAGACAAACAAGACGAACAAAAGCAACGAGACCAACGGGAGCAGCAGCAAGACAAACAACACGAACAACAAACAACCGTGGCCAATTTAGGCTCGAGCATTCCAAGCCAGATCAGGACGCAGCGCGCCATGGCCGAGACGCAGCACCCCATGGCCGAGTCGGCCTGTCGCCGAGCGGTCGGACGACGGGAGCGTCGGAGAGCGGGCGAAGGGCGACGAGAGGACGAGGGAGACGGAACCCACCGCGCTGGGGGGGGGGCGCCAGCAAACCCGAGGACAACAGCCCCGAGGACAAGAAGCTTGACGACAAGAAGGCCGCGCTCGGGGTCGAGGAGCTCGACGACAAGAAGGCCGCGCTCGAGGACAGGAAGCTCGACGACAACATGCGCGGGCGCCTCAGCAAGCCCGCGACGACGAGGCAGCAGTGTGCCTCGCTGGCCTCGGCCCCGAGTTCCGACTCAGCCCCGAGGCGCTTCGCGAGCCGCTGGGGGCTCTGAGCGAGGCGCTTTCGGGCAGAGCGGGGACGAGGTGCCCGAAACTTGCGGCGCGGCGGCCCCCGGGCTCGAGGGCGCCAGAGAAACAAGAGAGAGAGAGAGGGAAAAAAAGAGGGAGAGAGAGAGAGAGAGAGAGAGAGAGAGAGAGAGGGAGGAAAGAGAGAGAGAGAGAGAGAGGGGGAGAGAGAGAAAGAGAGAGAGAGAGAGAGAGAGGGAGAGAGAGAGAGAGGTATATATATAGAGAGAGATGGGGAGAGAGGGAGAGAGAGAGGGAGAGAGAGAGGGAGAGAGCAAGAAATAAAGAGAGAGAGAGAGAGAGAGAGAGGGAAAGAGAGAGAGAGAGAGAAAGAAAGAAAGAAAGGAAGAGAGAGAGAGGGAGAGAGAGAGAGAGAGGGAAAGAGAGGGAGAGAGAGGTGCCAGAGCAACGCAACTTCCAACAACAACAAAAACAAGCATACGCAAGCAACGCAACACGCGCCAACAACACCAACGGCCACACAAACAATTGCAACCGCAATCGACACACTAACATCACCACCAACCAGCAACACCAACAACGCCACCAGCAACACCAACAACAGCAGCAACAGCAAGCACATCAACACCACCAACAACATCCGAAGCAACAGCAGGCACAATAGAAGCAACAGCAAAGCACAACAGCAGCGAAACAAGCAAGCGCAACAAGCGAACACCAAGAAGCACCAACGACGAGCTAGCACGAACAACCTTCCGCAGCCACGTTGGCTCGAGGCTTTCTGGTTCGAGCTACTGCAGCTTTGCAGCGAGACTCCGATGGCCACGCCGACGAAGCGGACGAGCTTGTCGAGCCTCGGGGGCCTGCAGACCTCGCCGCCGGCGGTCCCGAGCTCGCGCGAGAAGCTGATGACCTCGCCCTGCGAGACGGCCGACTCTGCTACGAGTTTCTACAATCAACTCGACGCCACGAGGCTCGAGGTTGAGACGGCCGGGCAGGATTCTTCTTCCTTATATTCCTTCCGAGTGTCTGTCTTTTCTTCTTCTTTCCTCTTCTGTTTCGCATCATAGTTTCCGTTCCTTGTGTTTTTTTTTTTCCTTCACTTGTGCGTGTCTGATGCTTCCGCTCCTTTTTCTCACTTTTCCTTGTCTCGCCATCTTCCTTCCCCGCCCCCCCCCCCCGCCCCAGGGGCCGAACTTTTTAATCCAAGTGTTTGTTGTTTTCATCGCCCGCGGGGCCCCATTATGGACCCGTCCACGCGCTCATGGAATCGAATTAAGAAGTTGTTTTTACACGTGAGAAACCGAAGTCCCCGAGCCCATTTTTGTTTCAAAATCGATCCTGAGGACATTCTCTTCTCTAGTCCGCCTCCCGCCTTTCTTATTCCTCTCCCCCCCGTTCTCCGAGTGGTACTATTGCAGTCGCCCCGCGCGGTGGTGGTGGGGAATCTTGCTACGCCCTTGCAGTCTTGCCACTTCGGCCCACCCCTGGGCCTTGCAAGGGCCTTGCATCTTCGCCGCCCACCCTTGCTACGCGGGTCGGCTGTAATACTACGAGCACTCCCCGCGCACACACACATGCACACACGCGCCCCCCACGAGCGCCGAGGGCGAGCCCCGTCGCCCCGCGCGGCTTCGGCCGAGGCGCGAAGCGAGGCCTCGGCAAGGGCGGCAGACCGCAGGGGGGGCTGGCAGAGTACAAAGGGACTCACAAGGCCCGGGCTGCGCCCGCGCTGCGACGAGACCCGGCAGCGCAGGTCAAGCTCCAGATCTTCCTCGACTGGAGCAAACACGCGGGCGAGCACAACGTGAATCAGTTCGCATCCCTGCCGCCTCGAGCGAGAGCCGAGCTGCAGCGCAAGTGGCGCTGTAATCGCGAGACGGTTACCTGGTGGCACGGCCTTCGGGCTGCCCTCGAGAAATATGTCGCCGCGGCGCGGCTCGGCAAGAACGGCATCCGAGCCCGCGGGCGCCCCCGAGTGAACGTGCGCGGGCGCGATAGCGGCCGCGTCGTCAGGCTGTCCCGCGAGACCCCTGGTCAAGTCGCAGCCAAGCGCCCGCTCGAGGGCCTCGCGCGCCGCCTCTAGCCTCGGTTCAAGCGGGAGCGCGAGCGCGGCCACGAGATCAGGAAGAGGACCGTTCTGACGCGGCTGCGCTACGAGCTGGCCTTCGAGCAGGACAAGCAGCCCCGCCTGCAGAAGATCGGCCACAAGAGCTACAACGCCGAGATCCTCAAGAGGGTGACCAAGCGCCCGAGCCTCTTCCAGGTAGACCAGGCCACCAAGAAGGACACGCAGTGGGTGGGCGAATTCGCCATCTCGAGGATCAACGCGCGCGGGCGCAAGGGCGGGCGCCTCTCCGACGCGAGGGCGCAGACCTTCAGCAAATAGAAGGCCGAATTCGCCTGGGCCACGGCGGACAGGTAGTGCGAGTAGTTGTAGTAGTAGTAGTAGTAGCAGCAGCAGCAGCAGTAGTAGTAGTAGAAGTAGTGGTCGTAGTAGTACTAGTAGTAGTAGTAGTAGTAGTAGTAGTCGTAGTAGTAGTAGTAGTAGTAGTAGTAGTAGTAGTTAGTCGTAGAAGTGGACGTTATTACTACAACTAGTAGTATCGGTAGTCGGAACCAGTTACTCGTTGTGGCCATTACGAGTACTACTCGTAACTACAATTACTGCTACGAGTAATTGGACGAGTCTGTGGGTCGAGCGCACCCTGCGCGAGGTCCGAGGCGAGGGCCGCCGAGCCCACGATGCGCGCCCGCGGCGACGAAAGGAGGCCAGCGACAACGACTTGGCCAGTACGTAACTACTACGACTACGATTACTACTACTACTACTACTACTACTACTACGATTACTGCTACTACTACTAACTGCCACTCCTACGACTACTCCCAGGTACTAATACTAATTTTACCAGGTGCTACTATTATGACTATTACCAGGTACTCGTATTACTACTACTACTATCATTATTTTTATTACTACTACTGCTACTATTAGGTACTACGACCACCAGGTACTTCTCCTACCAGGTAGGACTACCAGGTACTACTACTACTAGTACCAGGTACTACTACCATATACTTCTACCAGGTACTACTACCAGGTATTACTACTAGCGCTATTATTATTATTGGTAGTAGTAGTGGTAGTAGTAGTAGTAGTAGTAGTAGTAGTAGTAGTAGTAGTACCACTGCCACTACTACGAACGAGTATTTAACTTTTACTACTACTACTACTACTACTACTAATACTATTACAACTACTACTACAACTACTACTACAACTAGTGCTACTACTACTTCTACTACTACGACTACTACTACTACTACCACCACTACTACTACTACTACTACTACTACTACCACGAGGTTCGCGCGCCGGGTGGCGAGGGCCGGCTCCGAGGACCTCCGCCTCTTATGCGGGGCCCCAAGACTTCGCCGAGCACAGGGCCAGCACGGGCGTGGTCGTCGTCGACGCCACCGCGCTCTGGCCCAAGCTCAGGGGCGAGGGGCAAGTGTGCGCCCACGAAACCAAGGTCCCGGCACGAGCGAAATTGGTGCGGACAGAAAGGGTGCAGCGCCCAACAGCAGTTCTTGTTCATTTTGAACAGGATTCGCTGTCGGTGTCGCCGCGGCCTGCGCCCGTTCGAGACAGAATGCCTCCTGCCCAACAGCGGCCGCTGTTGGTTCGGAACAACAGTTGTCATGGGCATTGTGCCCATTCTTTCTGCGCGCATCTCAAGCGCCGAAAAGGTGCACGCCGCGGGCGCCGAGAAGCGCCTCGCGAACCTCCGCAAGAAGTTCCGCGAGACGCGCAGCGAGCAGGACAAGGCAGCCTTCGAGACGGAGAAGGCCAAGTACTTGGCAGACCACCCCGACCACAAGGAGCAAGTGGAGCAGGCCTACTCGAGCACTGGAGACAAGTACAGGATCACCCTGAACGTCTCCGCGATCGAGAACTGGCTCGACCCGAGCAGGGGGCCGATGTCCGCCAAGAAGCGCAGCGCGCTCCTTGTCCCCTGCGCAAGGCACTGCCGAGTCAGCGACGTGAATCTCGAGGAGGGCACCTGGCGGCGAGACGCCACTTGCGAGCGGGGCGATGGCGAGGCGGAGCGCTTCCGAGCAGGCGAGCCCCTAGGAGCATTGCTCAAGGGCTGGCGCAATGCTCTGCTCGAGTTCACCGAGGCGGAACGCGCGAGGGTCTTCGAGGCCATCGACGCGCGGGGGCAGCCGAGAGCCTGGACGGACGAGCTGGTGGCCAGCTGGACCATCGACTTCATCGAGCAGGAGCACGGCCAGAGCCGCGCGTTCGCAGACTGCCTCTCGAGCCAGTGGACCGAGGCAGCGACGCTGCGAGCGTGGCTCAAGAATGTCATTCACGCGCCCATGAGCCCGACGCCCACGAGCACGGCCAGCTCAAGGCCAGGATCCGAGAGGTCAAGGCCGCGATGCACTGGGCCATGGAGCAAGACTGGTTCCAGAAGGCTAAGGCCGAGCCCCAGAAGGAGTACAAGTTCCCGACACGTTGGGGGCCGTATACGAGTGCCTCTACTGCATCTCCGAGGCCTACACCCGCTTCCGCGAGCAGAACAAGGGCGCGGTGCCGCTCCAAGGGATGCAAGCCCACCAGATGCTCGTGCTCCGGCCGACGGAGCAAGGCGAGCTCAGGGTCGTCGCGGGCGTGGAGCCGTGGAGCTACTCCACCGAGGCCGGCCGCGGCATCGAGAACAGCCCGGCGAAAGAGCGCCTCGAGGGCTCCCAGAGCTGGCCCGAGGGCGTGGCGCCAGTGCCCGAGTGGAGCGCCCTCGACGGCGACTGCTTCCACAACGACGACTTGCCGAGGGACTGCGAGGAGGACGAGAACCCCTGCCTTCTGGAGCTCCGGGAGCTGGACCTCGAGCTCACCGACGAGCAGAAGGACGTGCTCAAACCGCCAGAGGAGCGGATCAAGGACATCAAGTTCCCGCGCGCCTTCGAGAACAGGATGAAGCTGAAACGGACAAATAAACGCAAGAGCAGGTGGGCGCCCAAGTTCTCGGGCCCAGTTCCTGGGCAATCGCGCTCGCAAGTGGCAGCGCGAGAGGGGCAGCGCCGGCGGCGAGGCCTCGCTCGAGCACCTCGGCAGAGGCGTGGCCAAGGCGAAGCTCGCAGGCAGGGCGCCGAAGCCGCGCGCGAGCTTCTCCAAGAAGTTCAAGCAGAAGAAGCAAGCGGAAACGGCGGCCTCGAGGTCCGCGAGGAGCCCCCCGGGCACGGCAAGGTGGCGCGCGTCGCCGAGGAGGGCAACCGCGAGGGCGGGCGCGGCCGAGTGCAGGGCGTCTGGCGAGACCTGGGCACCGAGAACGAGCGCCGCCTGTGCGCCCTCGAGGTGGAGACCGCGGCGATCTTCCAGATCAACAGCAGCGAGGCCTCGAGGGTCACGGGCGCTCGTTAGATTCCGCCTGCTTCTGCTCGGGGCGGCGGATGCAGGCGGCAGTTGGCAGGGAAGCAGAAGCAGGCAACGCGAAGCGCGGAAGCGGAGGCAACGCGAAGCGCGGAGGCAGGCGGAAGCAGGCGGTAGCAACGCGAAGCGGAAGCAGGCGGCAGCAAAGCGGAAGCAGGCGCAAGTTAATGAACGCCTGCGAATCCCGTGCGCCACGGGTCACGATCGAGCAGGACTACTAGTTCCCCGAGCCGCAGAAGCTCGACTGGCGCCGGGCAAGACACGCTCGCCGCACCGCGCTCGCCAAGGAGCACGCGGTCATGAACTGCGAGCAGACCGTCAAGGGCGACGCCCTCGAGCTGGGCAAGGTGCGCGCGCTGCTGGGCGGGGCCGAGGAGCGAGTGGGCGTCCCCGACAACGTGCTGGCGGCCGAGCCCACGGCGGCCGTCGCCTGGGCTCGCGAGGGCCAGGGCGATGACGCACCCGCCGCCCAGCAGCCCGAGGAGCAGAGGCGCTGGGCCGAGAGGGTCGACAAGGCCCAGCACGTGCTGGTCTGCATGCGTTCCGAGGCGCCCGCGCACTACGCGCACTTCAAGGTCGACGGTTGCTCCAATGCCCCCCCGCCTCAGGGCGCCTCCAGCGTTTAATGTTGCCGAAATTTGCCATTTTCGGGCCTCTATCTGGCAATGCAGCGCCGCCCGCATCGGGAATGGTTGGGATCTGGGTCACTGGCCAAAGTTCCCATTGGTGGAGTCCCCGCTTGATGGGCGCTGAATTTCCCCTCGGGCTTTGCCGCGCGTTCTCCTCCTCCCCTCGCGGCAGAACGGCCCCGAAGCCGAGACAGGTTCCCGGGGTGCCTTTTGCACCCATGCCCCGCAGTCCTGCCTACAGTCGTCGGGGGCGGCAAAGAGAGGGGTGAGGACTAGGGGGGGGGGGGAAATCGTGGCGAGGGCCATGATATTTCCCAAGATTTCACGGCGCCTCTTCTTGTTCCAGTACGTTCCCGTCCCCCCCCCCTGGACCGCGCACATGCCGCCGGCCATGATTTGCGCCCCCCCCCTCTTGGACGCCCCCCCCTCTCGGCCGCCCCCGAAGTCGGACCGAGGCATGGGGTCGAGGTCGGCTCGGGGAGGGTGCCCTAATGTTCTTAGTGCTCGCTGGGCGTTCTTGTGCATCCTGAGGAGGGTACCTGTGGATGTTATGTTTGTTTTTGGCCGACGGAGGGTCGCATGTTCTTGAGGGATGTCCTTCTGGTCCGGGTTCGACTGTACCACCCTAAGCCATGGACCATGGGCTCTTAATTTCGGCTTCAGATTGGGCGTCCCAGGGCCTTGGCATCCTCACCGCGCATCCTTCTGATCTGGTAGCGTGGGTGTAGGATGCAGCCCCTGGGAGGTCAAACTCGGCACCGACGCAGATAGATCCGTGGTCGAAAGCCGGTCCTCGAGTGGCGTACACGTGATCGTGTCTCCAAAGACCTCCAGGGATTTGCCTCCTGAGGGGAACGTGATCGTGTTTTTATTCATTGTGTTGCCGATCGGCGCGGGTCCTCGCACAGTGCCGTCTTTAGTACATGCTCCGCGTTCGGAGCATGAATTTTTAAAAAAACATGGATTTTGTATTTAAAACAACGATGAGTTCATGCATACATGTATTCATACATTGATCATGTATCAAACCACCGATATGTTAAACAATCCTATGTATTAAAAATTGCCCTGTAGCCCCACCTCCCCCCCCAAGGAGCAGATGTTGGCTGTTTGGGGCGCCTGTTTTTCAATGCACGTGGAGTCTCCCCCGTTGGACGCTCTGCTTCAAACATTCGCAGTAAGCAGAGGTCTGGAGCCCGACCCCCCCCCTCCCCCCCCCCTCCGCCCAATGTCGAAGCGCCGAACAAGAACACGCTCACAAGGGCAGTTGGCAGAGGAGGGAGAAGGAAGAGGAGGAGCTGGCGGGAGCAGTGAGGAGGGCGTTGGGAATGGCCCGAGCCCCGCTCGCGCTATCGCGGTCGAGCGGGCACTGGCCAGGGTTGCTGCAATGTCTGCTAACGATGCACAGAATATTCCTAGTCGTACTCGCCCGTCCTCATCCTCCCCCGTGCCCCCTTCTCTTTCTCATATACTCGCGGTTCGCATTTTCTTTGTTGTTCTCTCGTTCTCTCTCTCTCTCTCTTTCTCTCTCTATTTATATGTATCTTATATATCTATAGTATATCTTTATCTCTGTTGCTCCCCCACTCTCTTCCACTCGCACTCGCTCATCCACACAATTGTGTTGCATTGTCTTTGTTTCCCATCTCTCTCTCTCTCTTCTTTCCGTCTCCCTCTCTCTCTCTCTCTTTCTCTCTCCTTGTTTGCGTTCTGTGTATATAAATATATGTATGTCTCCCTCTCTCTCTCTCGCTCGCTCCATCTCTTTGTTCCGAACTCCATGGCGTACTAGTCCCTCTGTTCTTCCGGGAGCTACGTGGTCGTGCCCGATCGGCGCTGGCAAAAGTCTGCAGCTGCGCCGCCTCCATCTGCTCTCCCGGACTCTTCGACCGGATCTGGGGGGAGGAGGAGGAGGAGGAGGAGGAGGAGGAGGCGGAGGAGGAGGAGGAGGAGGAGGAGGAGGAGGAGGAGGAGGCGGAGGAGGCGGAGGAGGACGACGAGGAGGAGGAGGAGTGCCGCCGACGGGAGGGCGGCCCCGTCCCTCGAACCCGACGCGCGAGGCGCAGGCCCGCACGCGCCGCACCGTTGGAGGCCTCGGCGTGGAGGGGCGGCGGAGGGCCCCCCCCTCGGCAGGGGGCCCCGCCTTGGCCCCCGCCGGCTGCGAGGGGGCCGGGGCGGGCCTGCAGCTGGGGGCCCATGCCAAGAGGCACCCTTCGGAGGTGGACAGACCTCCTACCCTGACACGTCGAGTGAGGAGTCGGCCGTTTTCGGTTCGCGAGGGGGGGCGTCGCGGCCGTCATCGTTGCGGGTCCGGGTCCGTCGGTTTCGGTCTCGGTCCCAGGCCGTTTTCGCTAAGGGGAGGTTTACTGAAGGGAGGTCTGTCCACCGCCGAACCCTGTTTGCCGACGACCGTCGGCTGTTTTGGCACCACGCAGCTTACACCAACAAATGGATTGCACCGCGCAGAATGCTAGAGCACGGTGTTCGGGATCCACGTTGGCCGACACAGCACTACAACATTGGACACTGGCAACTGGGAACTGGAGCTAGCGCAGAGCGTGGGAAACCTCATCCGGGCAGCCTGGTGGCCCCACAAGATGCCAGCGGATCTTACAGTGGGGGCCCATGCGAAGAAACACCCTGCTTGCCTCCAGGGTGCCTGGATTTCTTGGGTGTCCTTTTTTCTGCTATGGGAAGCGTGACGTTCCCACACGAAAAATCCATGGGCAGCCGCCCAGCGAGCCACGGCCGAGGCTCAAGTCGGGCACGTCCCTCTACAGGAGGAACATTCCAAAATAGTCAAACAATAGTCTGGCGATGCGTCGAGCATCTTTGAATATTTTTGGTTGTGTTTTGGCTATTCTTTACTTGTCGTCCAAAATCCGCCTGGAGGGGGACACGCCCGACCTAAGCCGAGCCGCGGCCGTGCCGCGGCCCTCTCAGGGCCCCGTGGTCCACGGGGGCTATGCACCACCACGTCCCGGCCCAAGGCGGCGGCGGCAGCAGAGGCAGCAGCCGTGCAAGCGAGCCTCGAAGAAAAGCGAATTGCCTAAACAGACTTGGAAGCGAAACACGCACGAATTAACCACGAAGAAACAAACGAAGAACAACTAATAACAACGAAGGCACTTGCAATTGCATGAACGAGTGGAAACGAATTACGAACTAATTACAATAACGAAAAAAGAACAATGAGCTTCGACGCTTCGAAGTAACACAAAGAAAAACGAAACACGACAAACGCATTATAAGCTTCGGAGCTCCGCGCTGAATTCTTGGATCTGCGCCACCCCTTGCGCGCGCCGCGCGCCAGGGAGGGGCGCCTGGCGCGGATCCAAGAGGTCTGCGCGGACGTTTATGTCTATGCGGTTGTGTGTGTGTTTGTGCACAATGGTACGTTTATGTTTATGGACTTCTAGAAAGGTTATGTTTGCAGTGGAGACCCATGCCAAGAAACACCCTGCTTGCCTCCAGGATGCCCTGGGTTTCTTGGGTTTCGATGGTTTTACCATGGGAAGCATGACGCTCCCACACCAAAAATCAAGGGACGTCCTGGGGTCTCAGGGTTGGGTCTCTTGTTTGAAATTTCCTGTGGACTGGCCTCCAATGTATGCTCATGCAGTTGTTTCTTCCTCCAGAGCTACCGAGGGAAGGCCTGGACTTGAGTCGGGCCTGTCCCCCCACAGGGGGATGTTCGACGAAAAAGCAAAAAGCACCCCCGAAATAGTCAAAACACAGTCCAAATATAGTCTGGGGGCTGTTTTTAATTTTTATAATTTTTGGAGCATTTTCGGGACATGTTTTTTTTCGTCGAAAACCCCTCTGTAGGGGGACACGCCCGACATGAGCCTGGAGGCCCGCGCGGAGCGATCTCTCGGCTCGCGCGCTGGGCTCCGAGAGAGCCGGCGGCGCGGGGCCTCCGAGGGTCTGGGCTCCTGCCGAGCTCTGGGATCCCTCTGTCCAGGGAGGCGGGACTCGTGTCGGCTCCTCCGGTTCAGTTGGCTTCGGTTTCGATGGCTCTCTCGTGCCAGCTCGTTTCGACCTGGGGCTCCCATTCGAGGTCCGATGTCTCAGCGGAGGCCTACCAGCCTGCCGGTGTCCGCCAATGCGACTTTGCCCGACTCGGCTGCCGATTTCCGCCGATCCGATGGATTTCGACCGCCGATCCGGCTTATCGATTCGATTTTGGGCTCTCCTGGGGAGGGGGAGCACTGGGACTGTCCTGGGAGGGGGAACCAGGGCAGCACACACCGTGCAACCATCTAGGCTTCCCAGATGGGGTCCGAGTAGACGGGGTCGGAGGATCGCGCCGTATCGCCGATGCATCGCCGATGCGGCTCGAGGTGGAGCCCGATCTGCTTCACGTCGACGTCGCCGACGCACCGCCGACGTCGCCGGTGCATCCCCGCTGCATCCACGATGCATCGCCGATGCATCATCGATGCATCGTCGATGTGGCGCGATCCTCCGACCCCATCTACTCCGACCCTATCTTGGAGGCCTCTAGCAGCACACATCATGCAACCAGGATTAAATTCGGTAGCATATCATGGGAGCCATGTGTACCTTCGTAACTCTACAGCTGTAGAGCGAGCTCGCATCGATGTGGCGATGATTGGCGTCGAGCAGCGTCGATCGGCACTAATCCGCAAGAGCCAACAACATGGTATGGGAGGCTCCCATGAGTTGCCACCGATTTAGCGTCGAGCAGTGTCGATTTGGCGATGAGATAGCGTCGATTTAGCGTCGATCAGCGTCGATCGGCGCTGATCCGCAAGAGCCAACAACGTGGTATGGGAGGCTCCCATGAGTTGCCTCCGAACACTAGAGCCACGACGCCGGCGACGACGCGGACGGCCACGACGACGTCGAGCGCCGACGGCGCCGCCGAGGTCTCGGTAATATCGCGCGGTCGCGAGGAGGGCTTCACCCCGGCCGGGCTCGGCTGCACGCAGGAGTGACCCTTTGCCGAGCGCGATGCGATAGTAGCTGCTTGCTTGTGCGCTGGGCTTTGGCCACCTTGCGCCCCCTCGTTCCGCGCACTGAAAGGTCGCTCTTGCCTGCTCCCAGAGTCTGGAGCGTCGGGGGGGCGCCACCCCCGCCGACGGCCCCACGCCGACCCCCGTCGCGGACAGCCACCGCGCGCCGAGGGCGCTCCGACCCCCGTCGTGGCGCGACGACGAGGCGAGGTTGACCCCCGTCAGGGGGGGTAGACCCCCACGCTTACCATCAGGAGGGAACAAAAACACACAGACACAATTAATCGTCGATTTCCCAAAGAACATTGGAAAATATGGGAAGTGGGGGGGAAGACAAAAACCCAGAAAATATGGGAAAGTATGGGAACTCCTGTTACTTGTGTGTATTTATTTGTGTGTCCCAGGGCCCCACGCTTACCAAGAAACCCAAAGTACGGTGCGGCTCGAGACCGCAGCGGGGGTGCTGCGACGGCTGGGTCCCGGCGGCGAGGCGAAGAGGCGAGGAGCGCTTGCTGCGGGCTGCGCGCGGCGGAGGCTCTGCTCGGCGTGGTCCGCGGGGTTCGCCGGCAGAGGTGGAGGCGTCCCGTGACCCTCGCCGGGAGAGCGGTCCAGAAGTGACCGCCATCCGCACAGAGCTGTCCAGGATGGCGAAGCAAGCTGCCTTCGACGAGTGGTCCGCGCTCCTTTTGTCGTCATCGCGGGTGGGCAGTGGACTCGTGAGCGGCAGAGTGTCGCAGGCTACGCCTGCCCGCCTTTTTGCCACAGGTGTCGCAGGAGCCCCGAGACCCTTGCCCATGGGATCTGGAGGTGCCCTGCCAACACGGGGCACGAAGATTCACTGAGATTAGTCGGGCCTGTCCCCCTACAGGGGGATTTTGGGCGAAAAGCTGAAACTCCTCCAAAAGTACTCCCAACATGCCCAAAGATAGTCAACACAGATCGTCCCCAGACTATTTTTCATACTATGTTGGAAGATCCCTCCTGTAGAGGGACAGGCCCGAGCTACGGGCCCCCCCCGCGCACGTGCAGCAGGCCCGGGCAGGCGGTCCCTCTGGCCGTGCGAGCCGGCGGGCGCGCGCCCCCGCGAGCAGAGGTACATCCGGAAGCTGCGGGAGCCGGACGCGTGGGGCGGCGAGCTCGAGGTGCAGGCCCCGCCGGGCCCGGAGCCTCGGCCTTCCACGGCGACGGCCTCCTCCTCCTCCTGTTTCTCCTCCTCCTCCTCCTCCTCCTATCTATTTCGGTCATCATAGCAACCGCCAGAGTGTTATTACATTGGACTGCTCAGACGGGGTGGGTCACTTTCAGGTTCGTGAGGGGGTTCTCCAGGGACACCAATCTGCACCAGCCAAGTACATTCGCAGCTTCGATCGCAGTGTGCTTGCTCCGTGGCTTTTGGAAAGGCAAGCTACCTACGGTGGGCGAGACCTCATGTACACTTGCCCGATGAATGATATTGTTGAACAAACTATCGATTTCTCGACCACGGTTTATCTTGATGATACTGCCCATAAGGTCGTCGCACCCACCGCGCAACGCATGGCTGATCAAGTCTGCTCAGCTACTGCAAGTCTATCCCGTCACCTTGCATTGGCTGGTGGCGCTTTGGATGTAGACAAGCAGGTTACAGTGCCTCGTTTTGTTGGGCCTGGCGCTTTTGGTGAGTCTCGCTCGTTTACTGATCCTGTCCGTTGTCTACCAGGTCGTATCAGCACGCATGCAAAGTATCTAGGTGCACAATATCATGGCGCGGGTACCACAGCACAGCAGCGGCACGCTATACAAAAGAGTATGAGGAGCGCATGGTATGCCATGGGGCGGTTCTGGTATGTTAATCATGTTCCACTACGTATACAGCCTCTTGTATTTCAGGCGCGTGTGCAGGCAGCAGGACTCAGCGGCCTCGAGGCCTACATTCCGTCGGCGAGCGACTATAAGTTTATAGGCGGCCTATTGTTACAGTGGGGCCGCACGCTGCTGAAGGGTGCTGCAGTTTTGAAGATCGCGCAAGCCGACGGCACCATCAAGCATATTTCGCTCTCGGCTGTGCGTATCTGGACCAAGCTTGGCTTAGTCCCCTCGCAGCTAGAACTCCGTATCCGACGGCTACGCTGGCTGCAAGAGATTGCTGCCCATCGCTCTGAGAACAAACAGCTACTAGCAGCGATCTTTGGGCAGATGCGTGGCGAAGAATACACTACCTGTGAACATGGTCTTCTTACTCGGGACGTTTCTGGTCAGGTTCGTGGGAACCCCTGGGCCCTTCAAGCTCTCAATGACCTCAAACTCCTGGTGCATGTTGAAAAGGGCCCCGAGTTGCTCACCGCCATGGGACACATCCATCTGAGAGCTTTCACCGACGATTTCAGCACGAGGTTTCACACATTAAACTGTGGCAACCTCCGCAACAGGTTCTGGGAGGGGGAGATCGATGAGGCGGGTAAGAGACGGGTGGAGGGCGGTGGAGGAGCTGCTGCTGCAGGAGGAGGAGGCGAACAGCACGATCTTGACCCAGTACCCCCTCCTCGAGTTTGGCGTTGCAATGAGACGAAAGCAGATGGTTCAGAGTGCGGGTTGGAGTTTCATGATTAACAGGGCTGGCACGCACACATGCGTTTTTGCACGGAGGGTAGTCACGGTCATCGGGCCCTCTCCCAGCTCCTCACGGTCACGAACCAGTGCCCCTGATGCATGAGCACGCACTCGACCGTCGCGATCTCTCGTCAGCACGTTCGACGCCTATTTCTCAAGCGCAGCCGTCAATGCGATCGATCCCCGATTCATCACGAGCCGATTTTACCACCCACGTTTGACTGCCCAGCCTGCCGCAGGGATCATCCGTCGCTCGAGGCTCTGCAGAGACATGTGCGCACGCATATAGACTTGTCCGACGCCACCTTCTCCTTCGCCGCATCTCATGTCGTGGGCGATGCCAGCCGGCCAGACGGAGCTGGACCAGGCGAAGAAGCGCCTGGCCGATTGTGTCAGACGAACTCGTTCAGCGCTGGAGGCAGCGGCAAGCAGCACGAGCCGCGCGACTCCAGGAGCCGCCGCCAGCACTCCCCCAGAGGGGGCAGCCGACACGGCCATGGCGGAGGACAGCGACACGGACGGCGAGATTGCGACCGAGATGATGAACGGAGTTCTCAACAACGCACAGCGCCAACGAGCAGTCGAAGGATGCCTCTTCAGCACGCATTTGCTGCCGAAAGAACACAGCATCAACTTCGCCGCCATCGGAGCCGCTCAGAAGTACTCAGACACGGTGAAGGACAAGCCCGCGGACCACGGACTGGGCCCTCCCAGCTTGCAGGTGAGCTTGGCGGTTCTCGAGTCGCTGATCAACCAGGAAGTGCTGAAGCAGAACCCGAATCTGCAGGAGCACGTGCAGTCCGTGACGAAGCTCATCCAGCACGTGAAGGTGCAGCCGATGGCTGTGGCATGCGAGACGCTGCGCTATTGGAAGGCGAAGACCGCCTTCGTGAAGGAAGGAGCTCCGCCTCTCGTTCGCCACACCTTCTTCGCCAACTCGTGGGTTCAGGGACATGGAGGCCTGATGATTCCTCTGAATTCGGTTTTCACGGCCCTGTTCATGGCCCTCGGGAGCACGCCGAAGCTGGCCCCCCCACCGAAAACCACCCAGGAGCGCCGAGTTCAAAACTCGCTGGAGAAATGCTTCGCGGAGCCCGCCACAGGAAGTCCAAGTAGAATCTCGGCGGGCCCTGGGTTCGATCTTTGAGCGTGGGTGGGTGCAGTTTCAAGGTGAGTGGGACCCGCTGATGCGCCCCAAAGGCCGAGGCAGACATAGAGGCCGTGGGAAAGGATCTGGAAATTCTAGGGGTGAGTAGTTCGTTCGAATGCAGTCTTTGGTTGAATTGCTGGGGATTCGAGCGAGGTAGTTCCTCGTCTACTGCCCCACTGGTGCCCCAGCCTAGGCATAGGGGCCTGGCTGGCCTATCTCTCCCCCTCTTGTCCTCTGCTGCTGCCGCCCCTGGCTGCCGCCGCTGTCCCTCTTGTCCGCTCTGCGTCTCCGAGATGTTGTCTGTGTATGCACGTACAGGCCTCTCGACCCTGTGCTGCAATCAGGGAGTCCCCAAGCTGATTGCTGGGGGAGGGGCTCCCCTTGTGTTTTGACATCGGCGGGGGCATAGTGCTTCCCGAACGCCCTGCGGCCAACTTCGATTCACGAGCTGTGAAACCTGGCCATGCGCAGATTGCGAGCGAGCGAGCGCCTCCTCCTCCTCCTCCTCCTGTTTCTCCTCCTCCTCCTCCTCCTGTTTCTCCTCCTTCCATGGCGACGGCCTCCTCCTCCCCTCCTGTTTCTCCTGTTTCGCCTAAGGCACCCTGCTGGCCCCCGAAGGGCCTGCAAGAAAACTGCGAAAGAGCAAAGGGTTGGTGCAGGCCCCGCCGGGCCCGGAGCCTCGGCCTTCCATGGCGACGGCCTCCTCCTCCTCCTCCTGTTTCTCCTGCTTCTCCTGAGGCAGAGGGCCCCGCTGGCCCCCGAACGGCCTGCAAGAGAACTGCGAAGACACAAGGGGTTGGTGCAGGCCCCGCCGGGCCCGGAGCCGTGGCCTTCCATGGCGACGGCCTCCGCCTCCTCCTCCTCCTCCTCCTCCTCCTCTTCCTCCTCCTCCTCCTCCTTCTCCTGTTTCTCGAGCAGTGGCGAAGCGTCGTGGCTCGCCTGCAGCCCTACCAAACAATGTTCTGAGAACCCTCTGAGGTGTCCACGAAGTGTTATGAGAACATGTTTGGCGGAGTCTGTCCTGTTTTGACACATCAGGTTTGTGTTCTAAGAACACTGTTTTTGTTATTAGAACTTTTTGGGTTCTAAGAACATATCGTGGTAGTGCAATCGGAATGTCGGGACGATCGGTCCCTGCTCAAGTTTCTCTTGTTTCTCCTAAGGCAGAGGTCCCCGCTGGCCCTCGAAAGGCCTGCAAGAGAATTGCGAAAAAAACAAGGGATCTGTCCAGGACGACGCCAAGGAACTCCTCCAGCTCCTGGAACCGCGGGCGCAGCCAGCCAGGCAGCCGAGAGCCTCTGGAGCCCATGGCGAGGTACTCCTCCCACACCTGCTCCCTGCTCATCAGTCGGCCTTGCATGTCACGTACCACGGGGTCCCGCACGTCTGGGTCCGAGCTGGCAGCGGAGGCCACGACTAGCTCCGACTCTGCGGCAGAGAGTGGCAGGAAGGCGCTCGTCCCACCATGGATCAGGAGGAGAAAAAAACACACAGACACAATGATTCGTCGATTCCCCAGAGAATATTGAAAACATATGGGCAGTGGGGGGAAAACAGAAACCCAGAAACAAATGAAAAATATGGGGTATCCTTTTAGTTGTGTGTATTACTTCTGTGTCCCAGGGTCCCGTCAACTGATCCCGCCCTCCGATGCTCCTGCCATAGGGGGGGCGGGGCACCATGGACGGGGGCAGCAGCGCAGGGCCCCAGGATCCGCTCCCAGGCGCCTGCACACCCACGGCCGCGCTCTCGTGCGCGCGCGCCGAGCCCAGCCGTTCGCCGACGGCGGCCTTCGGCTTCGTGCCTGCTGCACCGACTCGCTGCGCCACCGCCAGAGCCCCACCCTCGGGGCCATCGCGCGTGGAGGGGGCGGGACTCCACCTGCGGAAGCCGAACAGCCGCCCCCCGGGGGGGGGGGGCGGCCCAGGGCGCCAAGCCTCCTGGCCTGCGGCAGAGGTGCCCATTTTTTCCAGCGAGCCACGGGTAGAGGGTTCCGTCGCGTCGGCACTGGGGGTGAGGACCCCTGTCCCAGCACGGGCCTCCAGTCTGGCCCCACGTTTCTGCAGGCGCCGCAGCTGCCCGATCGGCGCCGTCGACGCCCGAACGCCTCGCGCGTCGGAATGCAGAGCCACGTTCCTCCTTCTGGCCTGCAGCACCGAAGGCACGCGCCCTGCGAGCTTCTCCCCCGAGGCCGGCGCCAACGCCACGATGCGATCGGCCAGCTCGTCGCACCCGAAGATGGTTGTGAGGCCGCTGATGATCGCCTCGAGGTCTGCCTCCGCCCGCTTGAGCTCGCTGGAGAGCCTGATGATGGCGCGATCAGCTTCCCGGCTTTGCGGACTTCAGGGCTGCGACGCAATGGGCGTGCAATTCCACACCCTCCCGTAGTCATGAACTCAGCCACGAGCG